AAAACTTCAGTCACTAATTTAACATGGCTCCCGTTCGAACGAAAAAAGATTGGAACTGAAACTTAAAATTCACAGTCACAGTTAAAGTTCCGTTCCCGCGCGAAGAAAACTAAACTTCAACAACCAATCAAAAATTGGAAGAGCATACGTTGCCGCTAGAATCAGACACAGTAGATTCGAAATATATGTCTTTTTGCAAGTGGCAACTCGTTTCAAATGAAAATAAACGGGATGGAAGCGCTTGATGAGACAATTTAAAATATGTACCGTCTTTTTTTACACAGGCCACAACCAATTCAGCACGAAAAAATTTTGCAGTTATAAGAAATATATGGTACATATTATACATCATGCGTATGTCAAAGCACTGAAAAAACAAAAGTACTAATTTCCCGCTTTCAGAGATTTATTTACAGAAAATAACAACTTTTATAGCATAACTGCTACGTATCTGTGATTGTCGCAGCATTCGACAATGGGGAATATTAACTATTGAATTTCAAGATGAGATGTCTTTATTTGAAAGAATGAGTTTTTCATTGTTGGTAAGACTTTATTCACATTCAACAGTGTGATGCTAAGTTAAAAACTCAATTTCTGCTGTTTAATTTACAGAATAGAATGCAAATAAGTACATAATATCTTTTATAGAAGGAAACTCGGGTTTGTTTCTCTAAATTGAGGTGCAAATAACACATTTTTTTTATGCAACTGCCTTTTAAGTGTATGAATCTTAAATAAGATTGAAAAGTTTGTTTTGTAAGCAGCAAGTGCATTAAACGCTGCAACCATTTCTGAAATGTTGCTATTGATTTTGATAGAATAACAGTTAAAATTTAAAGTTTTGTAATGTTGAATTGTTCAAGCATTCCAAAGTAGGGCATTAGAAGTAATGAATTTCAAAGAGTATGTGTATTGACATGAAGTTATATACTCACACCTCACTTCTTGAACCATCCTTCAGAACAGTGGCCAGGAGAAATCCAACATTAAAACCCAAAAATGACATGTTTTTTTTTTTAAGGACATGCCACCTAGGTTCATTTGTTGGTAATGGAACACACAAGAACACAGTATAACAAAACATTTGAAATAAACCAAAAAAAAAAAAAATTCGTTATCGGATCAAGTTACAAACGAAGCATAAAAACTACGATTTCTTTTCAAAAAATTAAATTTAACAAAAAAAAAAAAAAAAAAAAAAACATTCGATCCATTTTTAAAGAACAAACATTAAGAGCATATATTTACACAGAAATTACAGATTTGCAGCATTCTCCGAAAAAGGGGGGTAATTTAACGTGAAAACATATATCGTAGTTATTACGATCTCTATAAAAAAAA